AAAAAACTTCATGTGACACGAATTTCGAATTTATTTTCACATATAGAAAAGCAGCCTCAGGGAAATGTCACACGACTATTATGATCGCAATTCGAAATTCCGTGCTAATTAGCACGGAATTTCGTTTAAGGGATAATAATAATAATGAAGAAAATCAGGAAACACGAAATTTTGCATGCATATTCTGCAGGACCTAGCTACAAGCTATGTATGCTTATTATTATATGTGTTTTCATGTAATTGATTCTCCAAAATTTTGCTGTACCATTTAATCTAATAAAATCTATTTGAATCTACTAAAACAATTAAACAAAGGATAAATTTATTATTTATCAAAAAAAGAAATTAAAGTATATAAATATGATTGATTTTGAACTGACCAGTAAAAAAAGAACCAATAGATTATATATAAGCAAAGAAAAATGGGTCCCTAAACTAGCACAAAAGAAATTTAAATCATGATTATTATTCAATATGTTTGATGTTATAATTGACATAACAAACAATTGCACCACTCAGGTAGTAATAATACCAAGGTCACGCAAAAATGAAACTTTTAATAATTCATATCTACCCAGATATCTGGGATTCACAAGAATAAATATTATAATTCCTTATGAATAATGAATCTGATGTTGATCACAGGGTGTCAGATTTAATTAAAATTTCCTATTACAAACATGCATTAAGGTGCTTTCACATGCCCATATCCATGGAAAATTTTCCACAGGTGGGCCATGTACATGTTGGAAGGCTTTGGACAAAACTTTCCCCTCAGACCAGGCTGGCTGTTACCATATGATTGATGATAGCTGGTACTTGTGTGATGATTGCTTTGTGTATTTGCAATTGATTTGAAGTTTTGCAACTCGGGAGATTGCAACCTGGGTTGCTGTTTTGGATTTTCCTAAATTCAGAATTGAGTCCTGTATTGCTGTCTTGTTGGTAACATTCCTACTCACCAACAACCTACCACTGCTCAATATGAATATGACAAATCTATTGATATCTGGTCATTTGGGATCAGGGTTGGCATTTTTAGGTGTCCAATCAATTTTTATTTGGATTTGTCCTGTCAAATTGTCCAAATGCCGCAGTAACTATTAGTCCAAATTACCTAATACAGTAAATTGGACACAAATTGGACAATTGGACAAGGGGTATTTGGACAGATTTGCCAACACTGTTTGGGATAGTAAATTACTCTATGTTGTCAAAACAATATCCTTGGAATGTTAATAATCATGTTGAAGGAGTGGAAGGAAGATCAAATGATTATACTGAGCTTTATGACAATATAATGAAAGGTGATCTAGATTTTTCTACATTTAAAACAATTAGAAGTGATATTAATGAAATTGAAACTGTTGTGGATTTTATTCTTAAATTGTGTCAGGTAGATAGAGATAAAAGGATGTCATCTGATAAAGTGTTGCAGCATACAATGTTTAGTTAATTTATATGGACAAAGAAATAATAATGATAATTTTAATTATTTTATTTTTAGGCATAGTTAAAAACAGTAATAATAGTAACAATTCTAGATTGTGAATATAGATTATTCACTTCCTTCTTATTTATTGTCAAATTTTTTTTTCTATTGATGATAATTTTAAAACCTCAAGTATTGACATGCTAGGCCTCTATGCCTTCAAATGAATTGAGATAAACAATCTAAAATAATTGATGTATTCTTATAACTATTTTTGAGTTTAGAAAAATATTGCTTTCCTGTTATCATAAGAAGTGATCTCTTCTTTTTTAATTTGTTCAATCCCCCCCCCCCCATTTGATGACACAATCCCAAATTCTAATTTTAAGCAATTATTTTTTAATATACATTACCTGGACAAAAGTTTGTGAACAATGTTTTTTGTTAATTACGCAAAATGCTACATAATAACAACACAAAATTTTAACATTATACGGCCTAGGTTCTTGTTCTTTATGATATTGGAATATTTAAATTGTACCAATGTTTATTAATTAATGATGAATATAGCGTGTGAAATTCGATTTAATCACATTTCCAATTGAAAATGTCCATGTGATAATGCAAAATATATAAATACTCGACAAAAAATTATTAGATTTTCTTCATTCGTATTATTTCAAGAAATTTGATATAACATGTCTTCACAAATTCCAACTTTACTCAACCCATCTTTTTTGACATCTGGTTTAAGTACTGGCTGCTTTAATTTTGTAAATAAAATTGCAGAGGCTAGAAGTAAACAGGTTTGTTCGATAGATAAATATTATTGAAAATAAATCTTTTTTTTTTTTATTAAACGAATAATTAATTACTCACTTTTATTGCTTACCAAATGGTTGGACGAATTATTAATAATTGATAAATAAAGGAAGAAGATCAAATTGTTGCCCAAGAAATAGATGGGTTAAAAAGTAAATTGAATCTGCCAGAGATTTCATCGGTAATAATAATTTAGAATAATAGATTTTTTTTTTTAGAGAATCTAAATAATTATTTGAATATTCTTTTTTTCTTATATATCTTTTTTTTTAAAAATTTTTCTAAAGACTAAAATCAAAGATTATATAATTAGATTGATTTATTGTGATATGTTGGGACATAATGTAGATTTTGGACATATTCATGCAGTGAAATTGGCTCAAAGTGCTAAAACTTTGTGGGATAAAAGAACAGGTTTTTAATTCATCGATCATTCAATTGCACGAATAATAGATTAATAAAATAATATACTGATTGAGTATATATTTTTTAATAGGATACTTGGCATGTTCTTTATTTTTACATGAAACTCACGAACTAAGTATAATGTTGATCAATACAATATTGAAGGTTAAAAATCTAATTATTTAAATAATCGGATATATACATTATTGTTTATTTTCCATCACAGTAATAATTAGCTATTTATTTTTTAGGATCTTCAAAGTAATGACCATCTTGAAATTTGTGCAGCATTGACAGCACTTTGTCATTTATTGAATCCTGATATGAAACCAGCAGTAATCGGAATTGTAGAAGATAAATTAAATCATCCAAAGTAAAAAAAAAGTTGGATCAAAATCATTTATATTTTTTTGATTTATAACTTTTCATTATTATTATTACAAGTAATTATTAACTCATAAATTTTGTTAATATTTTCATCATCATTGAAAGAGAAATTATACGTAAAAAAGCAATTATGGTATTTCATAAATTATTTCAAGACGATCCTGACATGATGGTTACATATCCAAATCTAGAAGTTAAATTTCGCCAATTATTGACGAGAAAAGATCCACATACGTTGAATGCTCTATTATGTCTTTACGCAGATTTTGTAAAGGTAAAAAAATAATATTAATGAAATCAGTAAAAATAATATTAATCAAATCAATATATATATATATTTCTTTTTTTATAGGCAAACCCTGCAAGTTTTAAGGATTTGGTTCCATTTCTTATAAATGTTTTAGAACAAGTGTTGGATAGATGGTTGCCTAGAACTTATGACTTTCACGGAGTTCCAGCTCCTTGGATTCAAATTAAAACATTAGAAATTATGGGAATGCTTGCGAAAGATGATGAAGAGTAATAATATAATACTAATATTAATAATAGTCATTTATTTAATACATAATTTTAGTAACAATCTATTTTTTCTTTTGAAGTGTTAGTACAGAAGTCGGACCAATTATAATTCATACATTAAAAAAAGCTGAAAATGGAGTTGACGCAGCTTATGGTAAATTTTTTGATTACAATAATTAATGTCAATTCTTATTATATAATAATTTTCATCTTAATTTAATTTTTTTTAAAATAATAAGCAATAATTTATGAATGCATTCGTACTTTATCACAACTTCACCCAAAGATTTTGTCATCAATTATTCACAAATCATCAACATCATCGTTAACAGCATCAACGTCGTTACCAGCAACACCAACAACAATAAAGCCGGATAATAATTTTTCGCCATTTAATGCAATTGCACGTTTTCTGAGTTCAAATAATCATAATTTAAAATATCTTGGTTTAGAAGCTTTGTATACGATGGATCCAATATGGTGGGTTGAGAATGATTGGTGGACAGAAGAAAAGATGAGGATATTGGTGGATTGTTTAGAGGAAAAAGATGAAACATTGAAGAAAAAGGTTTGGTAAAGTTTTATTTATTAATTTTTTATATTAATCAATTAACCGATTTATATAATGGCGAGGGAACATGTTTAAATAGCAACTTAAATTAATTTTCCTCTCCATTTGTAGACATTAGATTTACTTTATAAAATGGCCAATCCACAAAATGTAGCTGTAGTTGTTGAACATATGTTAGAAGCCTTACGTACAATATCGTTAATACCCTCAGATGATTTATCAAAGAAATTGTTGGTTAATAGAATTATTGAGATTTCTAAAAAATATCCTTGAATTTACACTTGAAAAGGAGTCAAATAACCTTGTTAATTTATTTAATTTTATTGTTATTATTATAACTTAACTTTAATTTCATTTGTATTCTATACATTTGGTACTAATTCAGAATGGTTGATTAAAGTGTTTATTGAAATGTTTTTGATTGTTGGTGATTCGATAGTAGATGAAAATATTAGCTATAAAATGTTTATGATTATTTCAAAAGGTTGTATTTTTTTATTTTATTTTATTTTTATTTCCAAAGAAGAAAAAATCAAACTAATCGAATTTTTAATAATTAGATTATGGTGATGAGAAAAGTCTAGAACTGCGTAGACATGCATTTGAAGAATCTTTTAAAATTTTGGAAAATATAGAAAATGATAATTTAGAGAAAATTTCAAATGGTTTGAAAGTATGGACAATTCGTGTAAGGATTATATATTCAATAATAATATATACAATTTTTGAATGGATCAATTATATGTTAAATTGTTTATCTATTATTTTAAACCAGAATTTAGGCGAGTTTTTTGAATGTGTAGAAAATCAGGATCAAGTGATTGATAAATTGTGCGAATTACTTGTAAATAATTTTGGTAATTGATTATTACAAAAATTTAGTAATCACTCAATTTTTCATTCGTTATTTTTCTAAAAAAAAATATTATTTATTATATAGATAATTGTGAAATTCAATCTCAAATAATAAAATCTTTATTAAAATGTGTCACAAAAATCAAAACATGCTCTGAAAAGATTTTAGAATTTATGACAAAGTGTCAATTGGAATCATCTTTTGGAGAAATTAAACAAGTAAGCAGTAATTAAAAGCTTCATATGAATTATCAATAATTACTAATTATTGTTTTAACAATTGATGATAGAAAAGTCATGAATTTATTGTTTTGATTGAAAACCTAACAATGTTAGATGACAATATTTTTGGAGGAGGCAACAATAACTCACAAAATAATTTTATTGTAAGTTTTCACACAAACAAATCAAGATCTGGATATTCGAATTCCAATCTAATATATTTTTTAACAAAAAAAGTATGAAGAATCTTTAGCATTTCTTGATGAATTTCTTGAAGAAGATTTAAAAAACGGAGGAAAGCCTTATAATCCAATATCTGTTATTATCGGAGACCATGAAAATTATTATGCAAAAGGTATACTTGAAAAACAGAAAACTTCGGAAATTCGTTATGAAGCCTACGAGAAGCCTACATTACCTTTTCGTCATAATAAATTTCAACAATATCATCATCCACAACAAAATTTATCATTGTCATCTCATCATGATGATGTTGATGTTGAAGATATCGACATTGTAATGGTTAATGATCCAATCACATCGTTAAATCGTTCAAATTGGAATAAAAATATAACAAGCACTACAAGATTATTATCACCTTTATCATCATCACCACCATCCATGTCACCACAATTATCACCACAGTATCAATCACCATCAATATCACCATCAACGCCTGGAAAATTTGCTTTGATGAGAGGAAACGTTCATGATGATGATAATAATGATATTGTTGGTTATGGTGAACTTGACGGGAAAAGGTAATTCAAGACTTATTTATTAATTAATTAATTAGTCTTTATATATTTTGAATATTTGATTAATTTTATTTTTTAAAGTAGTAATCAACGTTCTTCATTTTCACCGACTTCAAAATCTCATCACTTGTCAAAATCACAAAAATGGAGTAAATCTGGATATTCTAGTCAACAAAATTTTGGGTAAATAATAATGATTAATAATAATATTGTATGTAAATAGATGTTTATTATATTTATTTTTTGGAAGATAGAAAACGCAATTCTTCACCTACTTTCTCTACTGATTCTAACGAAGGGTGAAAATTATAATTATAATTTTTCTCTTAATTTTAACGTGTATATTTGAATTTGAATTACTTACTTAAAATGTTCTGGTGCAAAAAAATTTAGACAAATTAAATCGTCTACTGATAATACTGATAACATGAATCATCCACACGTAAAGAATTTAATGGTTTTATCTTTTTTTATTAAAAAAATTTGCTAAAACAACTTTTTTGCATTGCTTGTAATATAGAGTTTGCCTACAACTTCAGCATCTGTCAACAATGTCATGACATTTGAAAAGGAAAAAGTTTCAGCGTTGTTTAGTGGAGTTGGAACTAACAGCAACATTTCTGGTATAGGAGGAGCATCATCACCACCAGCACCAAGAGTAAGTAATGAAAACCCAGTCGGTAGGGAGAGATATTAGTAGTACTGTGAACACTATCAACAACATTAAAGATTAATAATGTTTGTGTTATATACAAATTTTTTAGAAATCTTCTAAAATTAAAAGAAACTCTTCGATCATTTCTAGCTCTAATTCACAAGATAGTTATGAGAGCAGTAAGTAATTTTATAATGACGAAAAGCCATTTCTTTTTTCTTTTTTGTCTCGTCCATTCATTCTCTCGTTCTTCTCTTCTCTTTATTTCTATAAGAAGAAAATATTTTGAATTATTTAAAACCAGTGAAGAAAACATTTGAACAATTTGAAAATTACTGGGCAAGTTTCTTATATGAGAGAAAAGATGAAGTAGTTGGTGAATTGGCGGTTGGTAATGTTGAGGTTATCAAAGAAAGATTGGAAAACAATAATACAAATGGAATATTTCATATCATAAAAATTATTGGTAAATGATTTTTAAATAATTAATTACTAAAATAAAGGATTCTTTACCAATTATTAATTTTTATCAATATCATAGGTAATGAAGCAATAGCGATTTCACAATATGTTCCAATTTTTTCAATCTCGGACAGTTTTCATTCCATCAACATTAATAGTAATGACGATGAAAATTCATTTTTTGTATTATTACATTTTAAAATTCAGCCTTTACATTGTGTATACACCATTCGTACAAACTCTAAGGATATCATTAACGATATAACACAACATCTAAAGCCTTATTTCATTAAAAACGAATAATTTTTTACTTTATTCTTAAATTATTTATTTAATCTTTATTTAATCTTTATTTAATTTTTATTTAATTTTTAGAAGAGTTACAATAATAATAAAGATCTTAATTACATCTGAAGATTCTGTAATATAATAAAAATTTTTATTAAAATCAAAATTGTTTTCGATTGATCTTTCACAATATCTTGATTGAAAAAATTGAAATTGATCTAAAGCTAACTCACTCAATGTTAATAAACCACGTGCTTATCATGAATGCAAAATTATCAAAACCAAATAATAATAATGAAAAAGGTAGTAAATAGACACATGATAATGAAACCACCAGAAGAAATTGAAGAGGTAAAAAAAATTCAACACGAAATATAGGACATTGAATCAATTTCACAATGAGATTCTACAAAAGAATGATAATTACCATTTTTATAATAAAGACACACTGCTTAATAATACATTTCGTGTTTTTTATGACAGCAATGCCAGAACCATTAATAGTAATACTGATAAGTGGTAGTGGTACTAATAGCAATTATTAATAATAATCATCATCGTTAGACAAACTTGATAAGTCGGACGCAAGTGTTTGGCTTTATCAAGAGATCGACTTATCAAAAAAAACCGTGTTTAAATTTATAATAATCGAAAAAATAATGAAACAGATAGAAGATAAAACAAAAAAAAAATCACTCTTATTTATTTAAATAAATATTCAAACTAGTGTGCACTAAAGAATTATTTTGATTTCTATCAATTTTCCTTTTTAAATCTTTTAATTCTGAAACAAATATCATTACTCTGTCGCAAGTAATCACATATAGATTTTGAATGCTTTCTAAAGCGCTTTTATTAAATGTTGGTAGACCAATATCTTCTTCTTCTTTTTCTTCTTCGGATGCTTCTTGAACGGCCGCAATAATTTCGTCGTCATCAAGCATTTCAGTTCCTAAATCAGGATCAATTACAACATAACTTCTTTCTGTAATAATATCGATCAATAAGTAATTGTACTTTAGTATCAACTTCCATAGGTCGGTCAACTTTTTGATTATCAGGTAGAATACCTGTTCTTTTCCAACCATCTACAAATCACATCATCAGCTACATTATTTCATATATGAGCCCCTGAAAGTGACAGTGTCCTTGCAACTAATATATAGTGAGTCAAGGATCAGCGGGATAGCATATATCTCCTCATTTACATTATGAAAGCAGATTGGAAAAGAAACTCTAAACAAAATCAAAAGGTATTTATTATATAAATCTAAAATAAAATATTTTCTTATCTGAGCTTATTTCCCCACGAAAATTTGTGTAGAAGTTCATTCTCAAGGTGCAGTGTTGAGTAATGCACCTTCCATATCAATTGACAATGTACAAAATGAAAAACTCCATATAATGAAGTGAAGATGAAGTGGTTAAAAAAATAAATAAGGTACGGTTCACTCTCTATATAATGGATATTTCTATAATAATAATGGACTGAGAATTTAAGCCCAATTTGTAATATAATCGTTTATAACAGATTCTCTTTACAGTTCACATTCTCTATAATGGATCTTTCTATAACGGATCTTGCTTCATAATGGACCGAGAATTTAAGCCCAATTTATATGTACATATATAAATTATTATTATTATTATTGTCTATAACGGACATTTTTTCCTAAGCCAAATGGTCGATTGGGTCTGATTCATTTCGTCGACACCCATTTCGTCGAAGGTTTGTTTCATCGAAAGTTCATTTCGTCGAAAATTATTTCGTAAAACTTCATTAAACAAATTTCTCCTCACACTTCCCGCAAACTCCGCTTTTCTCACCTAATTTCTTAACTAACTTCACACACCCCTCACATCTAACTCTTTCGGTCTCTGGCTCGAGGATGAATAATTTTCGACGAAGTAAACGCGACTGGATTTATTTTTAGAATGAATTATTTTGAACTGGGTTGGGCTCTTCGTGAAAAGCAAAATTTTGGAAAGTATGATGGAAGTAAATGCACGTCTGAGCAAAGTAAAACAGTCTTTAAAAGTCTATTTTTTGTCAGGAAATGTAGACAAGAAGAGTAGAAGCAGGTAAGTTGGATTCAAATGGGTTACCAAAAATAAAATTGGATAACACGTTTTAGTAGAGAACATATAAAAGAATCCGAAGAGAAAGAGTTGGACATTATGCCAAACAAATACAAATTATTATTATAATAACAGCAAAAAAGTTGATTTTTATACCCATAATCCAAATCAAGATTGAAATAATGCAAAAACAGTTTGGATCACAAATTAATATTAACATTTTATATTCTCATTTTAAATTTAATGTCATCTTTTTTGACCAAGTGAATTTTTTTTATTGATCAATCGGGCAATTAAATAATTTTATGACTCGGAGCTTTGCTTGAGAGTGGAGAGGCAGAAAAGTTAGTATAAAATCATTTCTTCACAAATACAATATAAATTAATTCTTCTTTGTTCAAATAAACACTTTTGTAAAGGGTTTAATTGTCCGTTTGGTTTTCGCCCACAGTTTAAGTTTCGCCAATTTCGCCAGAATATTTTTCATGGGCCTAAACCAAAATTGCCTAAGCTATGGGTCACCATCACTAATATATTTTGATTCTTTGATTATTCAAAAAGGGGGATTAATGAACGAAACGCTACTTGTAAAAGACTTTTTATTCTTAGAGGTAAACATTATTTTTTCATTAAATAATGATTTTTATTGTATATATCATTAAGAAAATAATTCATTAATTTGAGCTAGCGCTAGCAATTTCAGCTATGATTTTTTTTAATTTTGGTAGGCTACGTACAATAAACAGATAAATTTAAACTAATCAATTATTAATCTCTACTTTTTCCTCTTTATCCATAATCATATAAATACTCTCACTCTTTTTGAATCCACCGCTTTTTTTAAAATATGAAAAAATCTATAATAATACGAAAAACACGAGTCAGAAAAGACTATGAGAACACTGATTTAATAAAAAAAATTTTTCAAGAAATGTCATTAATTCTTCGCTCACATATAAACAATAATTATTATAAAAATCAATCTCTTTTCACCGCTGCAAATTATCTAATGGCAAAACCATTACTATTCACGTATCTGATATTGAAAAGGTACGACTAATATTTCTTGAAAATAACAATATCAACAATAGTACATCAAACTCAATTTTAATATTAATAACGCGGAATTGGCAAAAGTTTTTACCAATCCTTGGAAGAATTCCAGCCTTGAGCACATAAAACGAATTGATTGTTTTGGCGGGCAAACTTAGATATCCGACTCGAAAGTTGGAAATCGACCACGCAAACAAACAAATTTTTAATCGTTGAACCAATGAAATAATTAATCACGTGAAACTTTTTAACTGGCAGGTTTGAATAAAACGAATCATTCAAATAACATAACTGATAGTAATAGTATATGCACTATTAAAATTTTATTCTTTATCAGTTTTATTTTTCCTTCGTAGTCATTGTAGTGACAATAAGAGTAGTAGCAAAAGTAATTGGCATTTTTTATTTTCTTTAGTCAATTAATAATAATAATAGTCCTTTGTAGTGATAACAATAATATTTTTTTTCTTCCTACTAGCAAATAGTCATAGTAGGGTTTCTATTTGAATAAGAATTGTAATTATTTGTTTTATTCGAGTAAAACGAGTACAGTAAAACGAATAAATTCGAATAAAACAAATTCGAATTACGATTAAGTTGTATTACGAATAGAAACACTAGGCATAAGTCCCATCAAAGCCCACCCAAAAGAAAAAGTAAAATTTGATACTCCCTGGAGTAGTATTATAAACTTTTGTAGTCCACATCAATAAATTATAATGAAAAGAATGCATTATGTTCATTTATATTTATAATATTGTGTTTTAAATAAAATGATATTGAATTATCAATAATGTAAAAAAGTAATAGTCACGAATACAGCGTTGGCAGATGAGCACGTAATTTTCCAACATTGCTCGAATATACCAATGGCATTATCTATAACTTAATCAGGAGAAGCTAAATGGCACAAACCTTTCATTGAAACGCAAATGTTTTTTTAATAAACGGGTCACTTGGCTCCAAAAAAAACAAGGAGAAATATTATATATTACAAAAAGTTACATATTAAAAGACACGATAAAAAATTTGTACCTTTTCAACAAAACCAATTGAAGGGCCAACTAAACTTATATATATATAATCTCTGATAACAACCAAAAAAAAAAAAAAGGAATTCTAGGAAAAGCTTTGTTTAAAAAATTTTTTTTTTAAATAGAGCTAATCAACGAATCCAATGATTCTTTTGTTCCGCTGGTTTTCATACATGCACCTTCATTATTTATATATCTTATTTTTTACCATCGCCAACGTCAACTAATTCTAATCTTTTAATAAGCCATTTAGATAAACACACTAAAAAAAATACTTGTATTATTTTTACCGTTCCAAATTCAAAAATACAATAAATTCAAGGTTTTATGAACTAGGAAGTTGTAAACAACGATTATGTTAATAAGTTACATATTTAATCGATATTCTAATTTCCATCTGGATAATACACAATTATGGGAGTAAGCGCATCCAAATAGCATATGTATATGTTTTTGATTTCAAATTATACGTACATTGTGCACTTACCTCATAAAATTGGTAATTCATATTTCATTATTCGTTGTTTTTAAATCTTCGCGACATTAATATAATTTATATTTGCTGGTTTGAAATAATATTTTTTTAAAATCGTTGTTATTTTCTCTTTGTTAAAATAAAAAAAAAACATAAATGATTTTAATGAAGAGGTCTATATTAACAGCAAGTTATATAAAGAAATTATTTCATGTGTTAATTCTTTGTTTTTTTTTTCATTCAAACATCTTACTATATATAATAATAGGTAAAAAAAAAAGGATTCCAAAATATTTTTGAAAGTTGTCTTTGCAGTCATCAAATTTCCTGCATCAGAAAACACACGTTTTATCGAGTCGAGACAGCAGGAATTTGATTATGACCAAAGAGAATGGATTGATTAATTTATAAAAAAGTGGCATATCAGAATAATAAATAATAATAATAATGAGCGCGACAAATATCGTGTCACATACTAATCGTTAATTTGCATTGGTTTCTTGAATATCACATTTGTGATAATTGTGAATATTGATAATCAATAAAAGAATATTTTATTAAAATGACAAACCGTTTGAATGATAAAGAGAAAGAAATTTTTGAGGAAGCTTTATTATGTGCAAGATATGGTGAATTAGATGAACTTAAACAATTGCTACAATCACTACTGCTTCAATCTAACAATAATGATAATAATACCACCACCACTAATAATGTTAATAATGAGTTAACAATAATAGCAGCAACAAATTGTTTCAAATATAAAGATGAATTTGGCAATACTGCCCTTCACATGGCAAGTGCAAATGGACACATTGGTATGTTTTGAATTTTAGCAAGTAATTAATTAATCTGACTTGTTTAAAATTTGGTTTTAATATTAATAATATCAACGTTCCTACTCGTTCTTTCGTTGATTTGTATGTTTATGCGGTTGTTTGTTGAATAAAATTCAATCATTGTTAACTAAATAGAAATTGTAAAGTTTATAATAGAATCAATATGTTCTTCTTCCACCAATGATGATTTTTCAATTGGGACTTTAATTAATTCACAAAATAATTCTGGTAACACGCCATTACATTGGAGTGCATTAAATGGACATTTAGATGTGGTTGAGATTTTATTGAATCATGGTGATGGTAATAATATCAAGGTAATTTCCACTAAATTTCTATTTCTTTGTTAAAATCTTTTTTTTTTTTTGGTAACTAATTTTTTACTTTTGTTTTTTTTTTAGATAAAAAATAATTCAGGAAAAACACCAGTTTATGAGGCACAACAAAATAATCATGAAAAAATTGTGGAATTGTTATTAAAATATGATAATAGTGATACCAGCAATAATAATAATGATGATGATGAAGACATTAATGAAAACAATAGCATTGGTAGTAATATTGATGACAATAATAAATCAACAGAAATTGTTAAATAAGGAATAGAAGAATCAGTTAAATAATTTCAAGATTTTTAATAGATAATTTGATTTTTTATATTTTGTTTTTATTTGAAAAAGAAAAAATTTACATTTTGAAGATTTTGAAGAAAAAAAAAAGAGAAAAAATAAATTGATTTGATTGTAAAATAATCAACAAGAAAAAGAAAAATTGAAAAACATACAAAAATGTATATATGAAAATATTTAATGTATTTAATGATGTATGCGAATATATTTATATATTATTCTTATTTTCCCAAATTAGTTTAAACAATCTAAGTTATATAATATTAATACCCACCTAATATAATCAACCCACCAACCCAATTGGTCCTTATCCAATCATCCCTTGTCTAATATAATTATCTCATCCACTCATCCACCCAATAAATCTACTAAATAAAAAATAAAAATATTAATGCAAGGTATTATTTTTATATATATATATATATATATAATATATTAAAATTTAATTGAAATCTTGTCTAATCAAATCTAACTTTCAACGAAATAAAAGTTAATAAACACTCGAATACTAATTTAAATATTTTGAATTTTACATAATAATAAAATTGTTAATTTTCTTGACTGTCAAAACTCGGACCAAAATTTTTTTAAAAAGAAAAGCTAATAATGACTATATTATTATTATAAAGAATTACACTAGATCAAAGGTATGTTATTGTTGCTGGGTTACTTGTGGATTTTGTCTGTTAATACTATTACTGTTATTATTGTTGTTGTTGAGATTTCCACCAATACCACTATTTACATTGCCAACACTACTGATATTACTAATACTACCCATATTAATAACACCACTAAGATTATTATTATTAATAAGATTGAGATTATTATTATTACCATTATTATTATTATTATTATTATTATTATTATTATTATTATTGGTATTATTACTATTATTATTATTATTAATAGCAGTAACACGATCTTCTTTTTCTCTAATATAACTTTTCAAAAGCTCTTCCAGTGTATTATCTTGATGATCAAGTGCAATTTGTGTAGCTTTCCTAGCTAATTCCCAAATCCAAAGTTTTGGTGCATCATTATCCAAACTTTTTAAATCTATTACACCTTTAAATTTTTGTACAGCATTTGAAATATCTCGTGCAGGTAATTGATGATTAGGGTACTTGGCTTTTAATAGTTGTCGTTGTGTTGTCACGCCTAGATTGCCGTGAATAGTGTAAAATTCAATATCTTCAAGTACAGCTTTGGGCAAATTACGATTTTTAGGTGATGCAGCCTCTAATAAGGTACGATGATATCTTGGTAATGGTGTCAGTTGTTGTTGTGGCGATTGCTGTTGTGGTGATGGTGATTGTATTGTTAATGATTGGTTACTGATAGTAGTTGATGGAGATGATGATGATGATGAAGGTGATTGATGTGGATGTGATGATGATGAGTGGCGTTTTTCTCTTGATGAATTATGGTGAGGGTGATAATGAGGATGATGATGAGGATTTAGTTCGTGATTATGTTCATTGATAAATGTTGTTACTGTGATATGTGAACTTGTTTTAGGAAATGAAAGATTGATATGCCATCCACATTCAATGCGTTTAGATGTTCGATTTCTTTGTTCGTGTATTGCTGCTTTTTTCTTTGGTGTATAACGACCACCATGTTCGCAATCATAAGTACGTTTACGAACCATTCCCATGTCATCTCTTTCCACTCTCTTCTTTCTAACAACAAACCCTTTTTCACGCCCATATAGCTCTAAAACTTCATCAACTTGTTCCCAATTTAGGAAAGTTGATCCTACTGCAATCGATGTTGTTATGTTACTTAACACTGGTGTGTTGTTTGTGTTATTTGGTGCGGAGGAGGTGATGACGTTGGTTGCAGTGGTTGTAGTTGTAGCAGTAGTTGTGTTATTATTGTTATTATTGGAAGTGTCAGTGGTACCACCAGTGTTTGGGGTGGTGTTATGTGGTGTTTGTTGTTGTTGTTGTTGTTGTTGGCGTGGTGGTATTGGTATGAAAGGTCCAGTTGGTGTAGTATTAAAACTATTTGTACCAACGTTATAACCAGTAGAAGAATTGTTTTGATTAGAGTCAGGTGACCCTGAAAGTACAACAGAATTTTGTGTAGTTCCTCCTGTTCTTTCGTTGACCAAAGCAATCGTTGCATTATAATCTTGTCCTCTTTGTTGTTGTTGCTGTTGTTGTTGTTGTTGTTGTTGTTGAAAACTAGACATTATGTCATCACTTTCATCGTAATTCATATCGCTCTTCCAAAGAAATGATTTTACTGAGCTTAACATAAGAAATAAAAAAATAAAATAATACTTTGCAAAAAAAACTATATTTAAAAAAAGTATTGGTACTTATGTGTGTGTATATTATATAATGTAAAAATTACCGTTGTTTTTTAAAATATTATTATTAGTTGCTTTATTATTTATTATATTGATGTTATTGTAATAATCTGAATTTTTTTTTCTTAAAGGAATAAATACTTGAGCATAATAAATTTTTTTTTTGTTTTCTATAAGAGAGGGAACTTATGGAATAAAGGATTTTTTTCCAATTAGGGAGTTCCCAAATGACGTCATAAGCCTCAAATAAAAAAACGTTACCCCCTTCTCCCACGTTATGAGACAACTGATTTTTTAATTATCACTTTTTACATAATAATAATCTCACTTTATGCTCACTCCCTCCCCCCCAAATAATATAATATATCAATTGGGGCACTCCCCAAAATGGATTGTACATTAACATTTAATACAAAATGACGAACTCTGCCGTTACACCAAAATTACTTTTGTAAAAAAGACAAATAAAAAAAAATTTTTTTTTTATTTTTTTATTATTTTTCCATGATTTTTTATATAATTAAATAAATATATTTGAAAAAATTGAAAAAAAAACAAAAAATTTAGAAATAAATAACAATATTTTTTTTATCAAACATAAAATTAAATTTATCGTAAATCAATTACTTATTTCATAAAAAAAAATTTATTTATAAATATAGAAAAATTAAACAAAAATTGATTAATCAAATCAATTTTAATTTCAGTTAAATTTTCATTAAAATTATTCATCTTCACCTTTGCTTTGGTAATAAATCTTTTAGAATCATGACTTCAAAAGTTCTAAACGACAACAACAACAACAATAATAGCAGTACTAGTAATAGTAACAGCAATAATAATAATAGTATTAGTAAAAACCTTCGTAATCAATCTTCACAAATTGCTAATACTACAACTAACAATATCAATACTACAACGCAACAAAAACAACAACAGTTAGCACCAGCTCAACAAAGTAATTCACAGCATTATTCTACACAACAATCTATTCCTTCAGAAAACATTCCTTCTACTAATACAACTTCAATTACTTCCAACACGATTATCAATAATAATATCAATAACAGCATTAATAATATTGTTAATAAATCAACCTCGCAACCAATGGCTACAACCACCAATTACGCGACTACAAAAACTTCCACCAGACAAATTTTACCACTTGCTTATTCTCAACCACGCCCAAATATTTATGCAACTCCTAACCATAACGTTAATACATCGTATACCTCACGTAGTTCAACGCGACATGGTAAAATTTAATTTTTAATTTAATTTCAAAAAATTAAAAATATTTAAACATTAAAAAATTAAAATTTTAAAAAATTTTTTCACCAAATGATTTAAAAAAAATTTAACAATCAATACAATTTATTGCTATAGGTTATGATCCTAAGATTGTTGCTTCTACAGCTAATCCATATTATTCTAACCAACAAAATATTCCATATCAAAATAGCACAAATGCTCACTATACAACTAATAGTGCAACTGCACCATTATCAACACAATTAACTACTTTAGCTGCGCCACAGTTCAGAAAATCTAAAAATGCTTATTGTTCAACATATTTTAGTCGTTTAAAAGAAGGTGATACTGCTTTGTTGGTTCCGATACAAACAAGAGGTGGTAAAAAACGACAAAGAGGTGTGAATGGTGTTGGTGCAGGAGGTACGGGTATTGGTGGTACTGGAGGTGGATTGTCATCATCATTAGGTGCAAATTCTATGGTCGACGATTCTGATGATGTAAATGATTATTTTGATGATGATTCTGCTAGAAATTCACCATCCGGTGAAAAACGTTTAGCTGTTGGCAATGGTTCAAATGGTAATGGCGATGTTCCTGTCTCTAAAAGAATTAGGAGCAGAACTAAACATATTTACAAGTAAGATATAATAATAATTTTCTATAAAAGAATTATTATTTGGATGATTGTTATTGTTCTTATTATTAATTGTTTGTTATTATATATTGTTATAAAGTTCACAAAAAGAAGTAGAACGTAACGCTGATCAAAGAGATGTTTTGATACCTATAAGATTAGATGTTGATCTTGATAATTATAGATTGCGTGATTCTTTTACTTGGAATCTTAATGGTATTTTATATTTGTTTAGTAATTTATTTATCTTTGGAAATCATAAAATCTCCACTAATTAATTATTTTTAGAAAAATTGATTACACCTGAACATTTTGCTGGGATAATGTGTGACGACCTAGATCTTCCAGTACATGAATTTGTTCCAATAATTGCTGAATCTATACGCACACAAATACAAGAACATGAACCATTTGCTGAGAACGTTGTAACTACTGAAGATTCTAGAGTTGAAATTAATGTATGAAATATATTCATAGTTATTATTATTTTTTTTTTACCTATAGATAATATATAATTTATGCTAAAATTATTATATATATATATATATAGCTTGATATACATGTAGGAAAAATACATCTTCGTGATAAATTTGAATGGGATCTTAGTTCGAATCTTACCCCAGAAGAATTTAGTAGAATGTTAGCAGCCGATCTTGGAATAGGCGGAGAATTTGTTACCATAATTGCACATAGTATTCACGAACAACTATTAAAACACAAAAAGGATATACGATTTTTTGATTCTGATAATGAACAAGAACGTATAACTTCGGCTTTTCGTAGTATCGAAGATTCTGAGGAGTGGTGTCCTGTTCTTGAAATATTGACGACTGATGAATTGGAAAAGATAAGAATGGACAAGGAAAGAGACATCCGGTAAGGACTACTAACTGCTTATTGATTATTGACTGTATTGTAATGATTAATGAATAACTGATTAATTGATTGATTGATTAATAAATATTTATTTTTATATTATAATTCATTAGACGAATGAGAAGAGCAACTTCTCGTAATCTTAATAGATCATCAAGACGCCCTATGATGGTAGCAAATGGTAGTAATGGAATTTCACATCATAATTCTTTAAATATGAGACCAAAAGATATGTTACCCGCAGTACAAAAGGGATCAAAGATGACAGCTGAAGATTTAAACGCTTGGAAATGCTTTCATTGCGGTATTGATGGAAATAGTACTCCATCAATTAGAAGAGGACCTGACGGTGGAAAGGTTTGTTTTGAAAGAAAAATTTATATTTTAAAAAATTTGGTTTTTAATTAATTATATTTTTGTATTTATTAGACATTGTGTAATGCTTGTGGCTTGGTTTGGTTGAATAAAGGAGAATTGCCACAACATAGAAAATCGATGTTTAGAGTAGATAATTACATATAAATAATTGTTAGAACAATATTAGATAGAAGTGTACAAATTGTTAAAAAAAATCAATATTTTAAAATTTAAAAATCAATAATTTTCTTTAAAAATTTTTTTTTCTATGAAAAATAATAATAATATTATAAGGTAAATTATTATAATAAAAATAATAAAAAAAGAATTTAAGAATGATTAGCTTGTTTTAATTCTTTCTTATTATTAGCATGGTAATGACTCCTTATATACTTATCTACTTGGCGGTTTCATTATTGTTCAGTAAATTAGAAAAAATAATCTTTCAAAATGGCAATAAGAAAAAAGTTATAAAAATAAAATTCATTGTATAGACTTATTAATTATATTTACATAATACAAAGAATTTTATATTTATTGATAAGTTCTTCTGTTACTCGTTTCGTTCTTTCCATTCCTATCTTCTTTCACTTTAATAATAATTTACAAAGACATATAATTATCTTCAAAATTTAAGGAATTATCTTTAGGATTTAATTTTTTCCTATTATTAATACTAATGTTATTATTGTTTATTAGTTGTTGATGTGATAATGATTTACGATGTTTCTTTTGTTCAACAACATTATAATTTAATGACTCAGATTTTTTATGTAATGTTTTTGATGTTGGAGAACATGCTGATGAATAAGATGTTAATGGTGGTGATGTAGGTGCGAATGCTGATGATGGTGATGCTGATAATGGTGATGCTGATAATGATGATGATGATGATGGTATTATTTGATATAATTGATGTTGATCATTATATTGAATTGGTAAAGAGTGATTTCTATTATGATGATTAATTAGTTGTTCTTTCTCTTTAATTATATAATCTTTATTATGGTTAGAATTAGATGAAGATGAAGAAGAACGATTATGATGAATTGTTTGTATAGGATGCCTTTTATTTTTATTTTTCATTTTATTATCGTTAATAGCCATTAATGAATTATGAGTAATAATATTTAAAGATGACTTTGACGATGATGACGAAGAATTTTTCTTATGATGTTGATGATGATTTTGATTTGAAATTTCTTCGAGTTTAGGTAAACCAGCAATTTCTCGAATGAAAGCAATTTGACTTAATATTGATTTCCATAAAATTGTCCAAGCTTTTTTTTTAAAAAAAAAATTAATTAATTACTTGATTTATATAAAGATAAATATAAAGTATATATAAAATAATCGAATTTACCTAAAGCAATGAGTAATATTACCATTATAAAAGAAAACAATAGATTTAATATAACCTTAAATGATTCAATAAGGTAATCCATCGTTTTTCAAATTTATAATTTTATTATTATAATTTGAAAAGTGTATTGTACAATTTTGCAAACATGTAATCTTTTTCTCAAGTAATATGTGCTTAGAAAACAAAAAATTGTATTATAAATATAATAAATTAATTTTTTCAAAAAATGACTCTTCTATATATAGTTTTATATGATTTAAAATAAAAAGAAATTTGTTTGAAATTATTTGAAATTGATCAAGTGTTATTTATTTATTTATATACCAATCTGGAAAGTAACTGCTGATAGATCCTAAAATTAGACTAGTACTAGATTTATTGCGAGGCGTAGTCATATTTCTGTAATAAATTAGAATTATTATTATTATTATTATTATTGCTAAAAATTTTCCGGATTTTCATTTTTAATATTAACCTGGAAAAAAAAAGAGTTTCCGGATTTTTAAAGTATTATTTCCAGCGCTGGTTGTAAAGTGAACATTTTAGTTTGTATTACCAAGAATACAGGGACCAAAATTTTCATCACAATTGTATTATTACAAATTACCTTTGTTTCAAATGCATATTTGCTATTTCTTTCAATTATATTTTCATTTAATTCCATTTTTTGGAACCAATAGCAAAAACCAATAAAATCAAATTAATTAAAAGTGAAGGCACCAAAAATCAATAGTAATACTTGTCTAGAAAGATTTTTTGGTTGAGCAGTATCTGCATTGAGTGAGAAAGCAAAGGATCTGGATAATTTTTAATTTATGGCTAAAAGTAGTAGCAATTAAAATAAACTTTGATAAATCCACTTTATTAAACAATTCAATGTTTTGTTGGGAATCAAAAACTGGCAATAATAGAGGTTGGAATTGACTAAAATAGTTGACTAAACTTTTTTTGAACAACTAATAGTTGACTACTAATACTACTAACACTAATATTATGCTAATGTTATTATTGTCTGACCAATTATGATTTTTGTGTTTTATCATTCAAAATGGAAAATTTCTATGCAGAAGAGTATCAATATGATGATGGTGACAATAATGGTGGTGGTGTTGTTGATGATAATTTTACATGTGAATGAATAAACATTTCCAATACAAGGTCCAATATTTATTGGCTTCAAGTTCCAATGCTTTAAGTGGTGGTTCCAAAAAATCTTTAAAAAATGAATCGTAACATATGGTTTTGTGTGGAAGTATTTTGAAATGAATTTGTAATTTGCAAATTAAAAAAAAAAATTTAGTTGACTAAAAATAATCAACTAAATAATCAAATAGTTGACTAAAATAGTCAACTAAAATAACTAACTAATAGTTGACTAAAGAAAATTTGACCAACTAGTAGTCAACTAAGAATTTTTTGGGGCGATTCCAACCTCTAGGCAATAAAGCTTCTTCTAAGGCTTGATTTTTAAAGCAAATGATAGGAAATTCTTAAGTACATAACCAATGATAATAGGAAAATTTTTTTTTACTGACTGTACCAAGGTTTGGGGAATACTTTGCTTACTCAATCAGCCAATAATTATACCTCCAATCATAAATCAAATAAATATTTGCAAATTATCTCAGTTTCCAAATCTTCTCCAATAAGTTTCCCTGTCAACTTCCTCTTCTTTAGCTACTTTAAATTTGCTTTCTTCTTCAGGAGTAATTTTTCCTGCACTTTTTTTCACAGTTTTTGCCTGTATCCTCTCCTCCTTCTGTCAAACCTGCTTTATAAGACTAGTAGTTTGTAGATATTCTCTTGTTACCTTCTCTATCTTTATACTACAGTTTTTGACAAATTAACTAAATACCCCCAATTACGAAAAACCAAATACAGCTAAAATGATTTTCTAGTATAGACATGTCCAAAGTCGTTATAAAAAAATATTAATTAGTATACATAATATAGATACAAGCTTCGTGTTTTGCTGAATTTTCAGGTAATTGAAAACAACTTAGAATACTGGTTGATATTATAAGAGAGAAAATTGTATATTTTTTAAAATTCAAAGTTGAGGTCTTTTATTTGTTCATGAAATATAAGAATTGTATAAGTTAGCATAATTTGATAAATGATTAATTTATTACTTATTACAATTCTGCCATGACTTCTGTCACTATATGCTTACAAGAATTTATTGCCCTTGATAATGAAAAACCATTTGCTGGATACTAAACAAATCAATGACTACATCCTGTGCAAGTGGGTATGGTGGGTATGGTGGAGTATAGCCTTCATAGATACACTCTAACAATTGTCACAGTACACATCCCTTGAGATGAACAACCATTATATGGTCTTTGACATCTATCAATCTCATGCTAATAGAATAAATTCATAAAATGATATTGTGACTCAACCAAGAAGGACCAAATACACTGATTCTTACTTGTTTGAACTGGTTGATAACTTATCTGCTTGAAGGCTTGTATGATGACAAAATTTATAATACTATTGAGGATATAAGGAGTTATTGGGCTGATAAAAAGAAATGGAATAAACTTATAAAATAACACTGAACTGTTAAGCAACACAAAGGGTACCCATTCATATCCGTTGAGTGATTCCATGGCCACAGCTTGAGTATGATAATATCCTCTGATCTATTTGGAGCTAACCAGAATGAATTGACTTTCTAGACAATGGTTGGCCAAGGTTACCTTACAAATTCAGATTAATATTCATATTTTTGTATGATGTATTACTAATATGATTAAAAATACATACCGAGTATCACTTGGGTGAAGAGATGGGATGGGTAAAAAGAGATGCGGTCGCGTTTACTTCGTCGAAAATTATTTCGTCGACACCCATTTCGTCAAAAGTTTGTTTCATCAAAAGTTTGTTTCATCGAAAGTTCACTTCGTCGAAAGTTTGTTTCATCGAATGTTCATTTCGTCAAAAATTATTTCATCCTCGAGCCAGAGACCGAACGAGTTAGGTGTGAGGAATGTGGAAAATTAGTTAAGAAATTAGGCGAGGAAAGCGGAGTGTGTGAAAAGTGTGAGGAGAAATTTGTTTAATGAAGTTTTTTTTGTGATGAAATAATTTTCGACGAAATGAACATTTGACGAAATGAACATTTGATGAAGTGAACTTTCGATGAAACAAACTTTCGACGAAATGAATCAGACCCATTTTTATATTATATATATGTATATATATGTATATAGTAATAAATAGAAACGAGGCTACCTTGGCATGAATCATTACTAGCTTTTAACATTAACTACAAACTCTTTACATGAGTAAACAATTTAGTAAGAACGTTTTTTGGAAAGGTGATATATTTACGTAGTTATTTCCATTATTTTATATATTTGTAATATATTATTGACTGCTTGTGTAGAGCCATTGACAAGCAAATTTTTGTTTCTGGAAGAATGATATTAGGATCAGATCAAGATGTTAATTTCTGGGGTGCAAGGCAAGACAGATGACTTTCTAGTAATACTGATAGTAGTAGAAATAGTGTTACTACACCAGTTTGAAAAAAGCTTTCCCAACTCCCAGAAGTTGTCAATTCTTTAATTTTTTCTCTTTGATGGATTGTTAGCATTCTTAAAGTAGCTTCTTTAATTAATAAAGAGTTAGTCTAAAAAAAATTTTTAGTCATAAAAATAGTATTTGATATCCTATAAAATGGTTCCAATTAACATTATTTACATCAATCCAACAAGAAGGATGTTTCTTTGAAGGAATTTGTTCATTTTTCAAAGAATTGATGACATCCTTTTGTTCTTGGAGTAATTTTATTATTTTTTCATTTTGGTTTGAAATTTTAATGAGATGATTTTTATTTTCCTTTAATTCTTTAATTAAATCCATTGCAATATAATCATTTCCTCCTGTCATATAATTTAATATTTATTTTTAGTAAATAAAAAAATTTAGTATGTAGAGTAATTATTATAATTAGTTACTAGTGCTAATATTAGAAACAAATTTCACCCAATATTCTACCTCATAATTTTTTTTTTAAAATCGAAATTCTGGTGCCCATTATAATTTCATGTCCATTAAAAAACAAAAATGCTTTGTAAAAAATAAATACCTCTTTTTGGTAAACCCATATCAACATCATCTTCAACATTACTATTCATTTCATCTGAACTTTTTGCATTGTTATCCAAATAAAATCTGTTATTATCAGATAATGATTTAACACTATTGTTGAAAAAATTTTGTGAAGGCACTATAAATTCATTCAAAGATAATTCATTAAATGTTTGTTATTTGATTTAAAAAAAAATAGAGTTGCAAATATCATTTAAATTGATATCAAGGAATCTTTATTTTATTTATATACTTAACCTTGTGTAATAGATAAAAGAACTATTCCATCATTTGGTTCAATATTAGCTTCATTTGAATCTATAAATATTATTTTTTTTTTGGTGTAGGAATATTTACTTCAGCAATTTTTGTAATAGTTGTTCCATAAATAGAACTAATTGGATTAATAGCTTCAAAAGAACTTTCATGTCACTATGTGATTCTTTTGTTTCATTAAATTCTTCATTGCTTTTTTTTGAATGATCTTTTTCAATTAAACATGCATGGCATGGATATTTAACATTTGAAGAAGATTTAGATGTACAACAATATTCTGCAGCTTCCAGCCAATCTGAGATAATAAGTGTGGGAAAAAGAAAAACATGAAAGATTAAGAACGAGTAAATGCTATATTACAAGTTGAACAATCATTTTGGACTTATAAATGTTTTTTTAAAAAAAAAAGTATATTTATTATTATTATTATATCATGATCAATAAATAATAATAATAATATTATTGTCTGTTGTGTAAAAAATTATTAAATAATAATATTATTTATTGTCTGTTGCATAAAAAATTTTATTGAATTCATTTAAAATGCCTAAGAAAAAAATTTCTCAACAGCAATAATATCTACCAGGAACAATATATTATCCAACAATAATAAATATATTTAGCAATGACATTAATAATAATTTAAGAAGTAATTGATTAACTAAATAACACAAATTTACATGATAATGATATAGTAATGTGAACACATAATAACATGATGTTTCAATTGCAAGGGTTATCAATTCTTTTTGGAAACATCAGTAATTGAAAAAAATTTTTTTTGTAACATTATTAAATTTTTGCAATAAACTATGGTTGGCTCGGTCTAAAGACCTCTTATTGCTGCGCCATGCGGCCAAATTTCAAAATAGCAATTTTGTAATTCGTTCAAAATCATATCCACCGATTTCTGCAATGTTACACGATTTCAGGCTGATTTTGGGGCACATTTTCGTTGTTTTTTGTTTTGTT